TCCTTTCTAACTTTATTCTGAGCATCTCTGAATTAAAATATTGACCCTCCTTTTCAGCATAGTATCTGGGAGTTATTTTCTGTGACCATTATTTGACAGTCTGATTTTATAGATGACAGAGCTCTTCTTATATCAACTATCTCATGTAATCTTCACAACAATCCAGGAAAGGGATGTTACAATGATTGTCTTTAGTTTCCAGATGAAGAGACTTCAACTTAGCAAGTGCCTTTACCAACCTTACAAAGTTTTGGAGTTCTAAAATCCCATATGTGGTTAATGAACTTGAACTTAATCGATCCAAACTCATGTTAGGTGCTTATTCTACAAAACATAGCTCACGAAGTGACTTGGTCCATAGATGACCACAAATCATCCATAAAGTAAGGAAGTACAAACAGGGTGTATTTATATGGGGTGAAATACCCACTCAATACACACACACACACACACACACACAGACACAATATACATGCTTGGATCCACATTTTTATTTATAATTATCTATCTAAAATTATCCACTTTCACCTACTCAGATTTGTGTTATACTTCTTTATAGAATAAAAAGAAACCAGTGCTGAAAATAATTAAAATCTATATCTTTTTTTTTTCTGGCAAAACACCAGATCTTTTAAGGTGCTCGAAGCTCAAATACATGGGTAGAGAAGTTAGCAATCAAATTCAATCAAATTCAAAGCCTCCCCTCAGAGGCCAAGACTGCCTGCTGTGAACTTGAGGTAGCTGAATATAGGTTGTTAGGGGGAAAGGATGTCCTGAATGAACTCTACAGATATGGGTTTTGTAGACAACCCCTCACCCCTCAACCCCAGACACCAGAACTAAAAATCCCAGCATCACCAAAGGGAGAATTGCTGGGACTTGAGGGTAGAGTTAAGCAGCCATGTTTGATATAAAACCAGACATGTGGGCCTTTGGGGGTCTTGGCCTCTTGGCTCATGGCTTGTCTCTTGCTTTTCTCCAGCTCTCAGTGTGCTATTGGGGTTCTAGGTCAACGGAACTGGTAGGGCGCATTAACCAACTTATCTCTCTCCCTCTCTCTTTCTCTGAGTTATTCATTTCCCTTTCTCTTGTAAATAAACCTATTGTTAACCTTTTTGTGTGTGTCTGCAGTTGAATCCTATAAGTTCCTTTAAGTGTACAGGTGAGGACCCACAATGTGAATTGGGTTGTCCTGTAACAAGGTGACAAAGAAGCCCCAGAAACTGTCCCCTACACACACATACACATTCACATGGAAGTTGCCTCAGCTGGAAATTGCTGACTTGTCAGTTTTGTTTCTTTCTTCCAGTGACTGATCCTCTAAGATGGCAAATAACATTTTCTGTGAGCAGAGCCCCAAGACTAGTTTTGCACATCAAACACTTAGACAGTCATTTATTTCATACAGAAGATGCGGGGGAACATACATTGCAACACACAGGATTTTATATCAAATATAGGCTGCTTCTAACAGCTTGACAACATGTGATGCTTGGTGAGAGACTGTATATACTGACAACAGCCAGTTCATATATGGAAGTAGAATTCTACCCCACAATCTGCAGTGACCTACCCAGGAAACCAACCTATAGCTAAAATAAGCTGCCCTTGGAGTCTGAGTAGATCATAAATAAATAAGCCTCAGAGAAGTCAGGCTGTTTATCTCCAGTAGCAGTTCAGGAAGCTAAGCAATAACTACTGCAACAATTGGTCAAAAAAAGCCAAGACTTGATTATAACAGACAGCTTCTCTAATTTTTGTCCCTCCTATGGCCCAACTTAGGACCAACCAGAAAAAAAAAAAAAAAAACCACGTATGCTCCACTAACCAATCACATAGGATGTTAACACCTTCAGCTTCTCCTTGCCTACAGCTTCCAGTCCAAAGGCATGCAAAGTCTTCCCTTTTAATCACTACGAAAGTTTGTCACTCCTCTGCCTGCCTCCTTCTCTGCCAGAGTAGTGATGGTGGCTGACTCCCCCTACTCTAGCAAGTTCTGAATACCAGGATATCCTTTTTTTCATTTAGTAAATGTTCACTTTATTTCCACTTATATAGACATCATCTTTGAAAAATCTTTAAAATGTCTATTGTCTCCTGCATCATTGACATAACTCGGACAATTTTTAAGAGGGAAACATTTTCAATTTATCTAGAAAATTTTTTATTCCCTAGAATGTTATCATTTTCTCCAAATCATAAACTAAGAAAGATTTAGGCTTGCATTGATAACACTTTTGCTGCAACAAATATATATTTAAGTGTAGATCGTTTGTATTTTTTATAAAGGAAAAATGAAATTAGATAGGACCATCTTTAAAAAAAAAAATTGGTTTGGGTGCCAGAGACATCTTAATGTGTTAAGAATAAAAGGTTACTTGAACTATTTGTCCATTGGAAATAGATAACAGGAGATAAGTGGGAAAGAAAATGTATCTCAACCTGAGGGAAAACCCAAAAAAGGAATGGAAATAAAATGTAGAGATCAAGAATCAACTAAGGAGGATCCATTTTCCTAAATAAACTACTTATTGGCTATTTTCTGACTGATAGACATTGGTCAAAAGCCCCAGAAAAAAATAACTGTGTAACCAGTGAATCAGTAACAATGGATGATTGAGGCAGCATGCCAGGAATGCATACTGAAAGGACCTTCTACAACTCAAACCTGAACAGAAGACATAAGACAGTGAATTGTGAAAACATTCAGACAAACAAAAGACCCTCTAAGAAGCTTAAGGACATTCTCTAAGATCCTCCCAGTCAATAGGACTTCTCAGAATCTCAGCCCTTTCACTACCTCCTTCCTGCCTCCCCTGACACCCTTCCCACAGGGAGCCCAAAACAAAGAAGGCATCTCTTGGAAATGCTTGTATTGTGGCTTTCATGTGTAAGGGAGTGAGGTTTGCCATCCTGAAGACATTGAAATAAGCCCATCAGGATCCCAAGAGAAGTAGTTTTGCTCCTCAGGCCTTGTCAATGCAGTACAGTTCGCATAGAAACAAATCACATTAAGAACAGAAGTCGCAAAAGAAAGAGGACCTGTCTGCCCCAGTACAATCTCCGGAAATGGTCCATTGACTGAAAAGTCCACCCACAAAGAGACTGAAGAGTGAGCCGGAAAAAGGCAGGTTAAGAGGTGACTTCCCTTCCCGGGGAACTCAGTCATCCCTCGTCCAATCAGGTCTCACTGATTTTCTCAATTGATCAAAGAGGTGACAGAAAGCCAAGGCCCTAGTGCATTATACCATCTTAGGGATTTTCCCTACGGGTCAAAAAGAGGTTTTTCCCACTTGGGAGAAGGCTATCTCTGTTGCCTGAATTATGTATCTCCTCTCCAGGGCTTAATAGAGACACTATCCACCTGTATTCCTAGAAAGATATATTGATTAAGAAAGGCAAAAACCCTAACTCAGAAGCAAGACTGTAGTCAATCTTCTTTTTTTCTCTTAGCAAATGGGGCCATAATTCCAAGTGAATGGCATGTGAAGCTGTTAAGAGGCAAGTCCCTCGTTCGCATTTCCATGTTCCACTGGCTGTAAATAATACGCGTGACTGCACAGGGAACCAAATTGCTCGTTAGCTGCCAACATTAGTTGTTTAATGACCTGAAGAGCAGAAGCTGCCAATTATTGTATTCCTTCTTAAAATGCCATTTAAAACCCATACATGTAATTATTATACCTTTTTGTTAAATTTTTATGATTCTTCCTAAGCTGATGAGCTGTGGGCTCATTCAACCTATAAAACTCAGGGAATACTGGAGGCCGTCACTACATAATTCAGTTAAAAATCCATGGATTAGACTGGAGTTAACACCTGATCTGCCACCATTGAGCCAGCTGAGTGAACTTAACCAAAGGACCCAGTCTCACGATCTGTTTACTGGGCACTACAGTATCCCTCCCCTTACCTAGTATTGCTGTTGTCAAAATAAGAAAAATAGCAGATGAAGATAAATGTTTTAATGCACTATTCAAAAACAGAGTAAGTTATTATTTTCAGTGTCTGGGGTTTTCAACCTACCAATGCATGGGCAAATATATTCCTCAATAACAACCAGATTAAAATGAAAAATCCTCCACAAATCTATAATCTATAATTATTGGGGAAAGGATGTCCTGAACAAACTCCACAAACAGGTTTAATGGACCCCACCTCCAGCCCAGACCAAAGAGATCCAAGACACCAAGGACTACAAATCCCATTATACCATCACCATCAAAGAGAGGGTTGCTGGGAACTGAGGGTGGAGTTAAGCATTCAAGTTTGGTATATGACCAGACATCTGGGCCTTGGGGTCCTTGGTTCTTACCCAGCTTTCAGCATGCTGTTGTGGATCCAGATCAGTGAAACTGGTAGGACACATTCACCAATTTATCTCTCTCTTTCTCCCTGAGTTATTAATTTCTTTATTTCCCCTTTCAGTAAATAAACCTTTTATTACCCTTTTTATACCTACAGTTAAGTCTCATTACAGCTCCCTTTTAAGGATGCAGGTGAGGACCCACAGTCAAGCCAACCCATTTCACATTGGAATTGCCGTGTAACATAACAAGAACATCAAACTAACTATATCACTTTGTCTCATGTTATTAGTCTGTCCCCATTTAGAAAAATAGTTGATTGCACCCAATAATATTAATTGAGCATCTACAGATTCATAACCCTCTATAAACACTGAGTAGAATTATAGGGTATACAGCATCTATGGTCTAAGCTGTATGCAATTCCTGTTTCAGGAATCGGAAATCCAAAATACAGTACCAATGCTAACAGCATATTGTATATTATGTGTTCATATGTATTTTTCAGAGCCTTAGCACCCCTTTATGAGGAAACCATGTTGCCAATCTATTCCATGGATTTTAGGAAACTCCCCCCAGAAGCACTGAGATGCCTGAGTAGGACATATGTAACAGGAAAATGCTAATCAAAGACAAAACATGGATGGTCATTATTTTACTCCATCTGCTTGAAAGTCTCCTCTCTCCAGTCACCTGATACGGCGAGCATTTTGGCTTCAAGCAAGCCTGGTAGTTGGGTTTCAATGTCATTAACTTTCTTCCTTAGAGTGCTGCAGAGTCCCTCACTCATGCACACCTAGAGGGAGATAAACAGTCATGAGTCATTGTTTACTCAGGCAAAAATCAGATGACAATAAATCAGCCAGTTGAGAGATTTCTGGGCTTATAAATAATTAAGGGATTTATAAATAATTAAGAGGGGTGGTAAAGAGTAATTGAGGAGAGTTCTTAAAAAGGAAGCAATGCAAAAAGAAAGGAAGGTAGATAGAAATAAGGGAGGAGGTGGAAATGTAAGAGAGAAGGACAACTAATGACAAAAACATTTGCATATTCAAATAGGTCCTGTACCTTTTACCACATCTGAAACCAAAACAGATATGAGCCAATTCAACAAAGAAACTACCAACTAAAAAAATTTCTTCATTTCTGCCTACTCCCTTCTCAGGGGCCTTGGCTATTTACCCCTTCCTCCTGAAATACCCTCCCCCCAGCTAACTATGATCATTTACACCCTTCAGGAGTCACCTGGGAAAGTTTGCTAATTACCCACATCCAAATGGTGACCCTCTTGGCCCCTGGACAGAATGCAAGCTCTGTTAAGAGCAGGGACATTGCTGTGTCCTGTAGACGGTAAACATCAATAAGATCCCACACCTCTATGCTCAAGAGCAGAGCAACAGACAATATTGAATCACTTACTAAGACATACTTGAGAAATGCTGTCTAATTAAAATTTGAGGGCTGATTTTTGCTGAAAAGTCAGCTTTGAAAAATGGGCAAAGAGATCTCAGCAAGGTTTGTAGTTTTTGCTACTTTATTTTTCAGGGTACTTTAAATGTGTTTCCTTTGCTTTTTCAAATATAGCAAAAATGTTAAAGCTCAGTTTATTTTTTCCAAATGTTTTAGGTTATCTATTCTTTTGCTTGAAGCTAAAACATCCAAATGTTTTCTTTTGTTTAAAGCTACAACTTCACATTCAATGGATATCTATACACAGATTAATGCGCTACCTAGAACAATTCCAGTTCAACAACAGCATATGGCACAGCTGAATAAAACGACATCTATGGAGACAGGTTGGGATGATTCACAAAGAAGTCTCCCTCTTTTTCTCACTAAAATCTAAGATTCCATTCAAAAGTGAAATTTTACCCTGTTGGGTTCACAGAGCTCGGAGAAAATAAAAAATTTAATTTCCCCAAAAGAATCTAGACCTTGCTAGATACCATCAACTTGAAAGATTTTGCTGAAATTGAGATTGTTTTTAGAATCAGAGGAAACCTCACCCAACATAGCTAAAACACTACACTATTTCTAAAGTTATTTTCCGTTAAGAGGCTATCATTTCCCAAATCTCTCTGTAAAACTCTTTCTCTGGATGAAGGTGACAGCATAGTGGCCTCTAACTCCAGTACACACCACCAGAGTTGAGCATCCACGTGTCTGGTTAATCCCAGACCCTTTTCAATGGTCGTAGGATTTGGCAGGATGTCAGACTGGGAAGTAATAGGAAGATGTTCTGGACCGCATCCTCACCCTCAATCCCCAGTAGTAAGTCTTAGGGTCTCTATCCAAACACTGGCACATCTCCACCCATCATCTAAGAATGTCATCAGAAGTTCGAGAACATTTCTATGAGCCACTAATGTCTCATCCAATATAGTTCTGATTTTAGTTAACCGTCTCTGTTAAATCATGATTGGGTCAGTTTCTCCTTTGTTGAGCAAATCTATACCTAAAGCTGTCACTACTAATATGAAACATCCTCTCTATAAATCCTCTTATTAAATTGAAATGTACATTCTTTCGAGCTCTGCTGGAAGTAATCTAATATCAACCAATCTCCAGACATCCCATTTATTTCCAACTATTTCTTCCATCTCATTTATCCCTTAATTACCTTCAGTTTGAGTAACCCATAAGAGTTACAAAAAAGTAATGAATGGAAGGAAGGTTCCACCTTTCTTTGAGAGAGGACTCAAAAGAACATCTGATCTATGTGACCTAAGAGACTAAAGAAAGAAAACTGCTGAACTACAACTTTTACCTCAAGGTCAGCAGTCAATAAAACCCTCAGTGGACAAAAAGATTTTTTTGTGTGATCAAGTAGTGGTTTTAATTCTCTGTAAAATGGCATACGCACCCCACACCCCACATACACACACACACATTCATGTGTGTGCGCGCACACACACACACAGAGACCAGAAAATCTGCATCTCTTTTGAATTTCCAAATTAAATAGGAGCCTGAGGTCTCATAATCAAATGCAACTTCTACATTTGCATTTTAAAATCTCAAACATAAATTCCTTACTCTTATGGAAAAACAGAAACTACAAGTCTTTTGTAAATGCATTAGAGTAGGTAGGCAAACAAAGCAAACTATTTTTGTTATGTGGGCAAATCTAAAATTTTAACAGAAGCTTAAGATTACCAACAATCCCAATGTCATGTGCACATGCAAGTTTGTATATACACTATAAGATGTCATATAAAATAGACACCTATATAAACACCACCTGTGCTTCATCATGTGCGCACCTGCATACTCACCGCAGGGATGCAGACTCATTCACTATATGCTCTGAGAAGCAAAAAAAATCCAAACCCAAACTTAAGAGCTACCCCATCTTTTAACTCGGCAGAAATAAGGAAGCACCTGATAAATGGCACATATTTTCAAAAAAAAATACCAAAGGAGGAGTACTTTCACCACCAGCCTCATCCAGGAGGCTTTGCCCCCATCTCTCCTCTCTAATGCTTTGCCTAGAAGTTCCAGTGGTGGACACTGAGAGGGTCATGGCTACTAGAGGGCTGTGTGGTTGTGACTTACACAACCATGTGACTTATCAGGCCTTCTAGCTAATAATACTTGTCCTACTTCATATAACAAGACTGGTAAACTGAGTCAGTCTCCCCTTACCATCACATGGGCAGGGGAATGGTCTTAGCCCCACTCAATGTGAACTCCTAAGATAAAGCCCTTACTAGGGCTTTAATGTTCTTTTTAAAAATGAATTAAATACCAAAAGTGGGGGAAAGGCCAGAGATAGTGGACATGTTTATCATGCCACCCAAGCCCAACAACCCACCCCCAACCTGGGCTTAGCTATGTGGGGCTCTGCAGGTCCTGGGCAGGTCTTCCTGGTCACTTTCTCTAGAAAGGATTTCTTCCAGGCCAGCAGACACTAGTCTGCTTTGCTCTCTGCTCAGAGATCTGCTTTTTTTACTTTTCTGCCATTATATAACCACTCTGTTTTCTAGACCAAACACAAATACTTAATGATTCATACCCAACTCTCTGTCGCATTAAGTAATAATTCAGAATAATTGATCCTCCTTCACAGTTTGTCAATAACTCGGTTAGGCATGAGAAGTTTCATTTTGCAAACAGTGGTTACCCTCAGTAACCACCACATTGACTATGCAATTGAATTGAACAGTGATCCCAGAGAATGATGAAAACATACTTTATCTCTATACAAAGCGAGGTCCTGACATGGTACATCAATGGCAGATAAAATAGGCAAAATGGGCCCTCCCTGGGCGCAGTGGGTAAAAGCACAGCACTAAGAAGCTAAAACCACTTCAGCATGAGTTCAACCCCCACCCCAGAGGTGACCCACATGGCACGGCAGACCTCTCCTGTTCAGCAGTGTACATTATCAGTCGGCCTGCTCTGCTCCCTACTCTGTCTCTAGTGAATCCTCACACCACCCCTGTACCTCTAGACTGTACCCCAGTTCTGTATGCATAAATAAATACATCTTTTAAAAAAATAGGCAAAATGATTTTAAAGTCACGTTAATAAGCCAAAAATAATCACCTACTATAACCTGTCCATATGGACCTGAACCCTATACTTCTGAGAGGAAACAACAAATTTCTCCAATTACTCCCATCTTAAACAATTTAATGGGAGCACAGAAGTCTTTTTCCATGCCTAACATGACAACTACTTTGGGACAAAGGCTAGGCCATACAGCTGCTGGGAGCCCAAGAGTCAGGACCCCCACCGGGAACCACACCCGCCCCCACTCTGGCTTTTCTGCCTCCATGCTTCCTCTGCACAAGAGCTTCCCAAGTCTACATTTCTTTCAGCATCCAGGTGTATAGTGAGCTAGATATGAGATTCAATCAAAAGAAAACTTCAGAGATATTTTTGGAAAATGGGCACTTACCTTGGCAGTGATTTCTTTAAGTGACAAGTTGAGGGATTTTATCCTCTCCTGCAGGCTAGAAGAATTAGAAAGACAGCATTAGCCTTCTTGGTGTCATAGTTCAGTAACATCACATAAAGGAACACTGAACCTGTCTTCACTGAGACAGTGCAACTTCCATCAGCCCAATGGCAGAAGAACAGTAGGAAGGATGACATCCAATGGGCTCCATATGACCATGGAATGCACAGGCTGCGGGGAAGCAGATTTCCCCTCCTTGCTATGCTCTACTTATACCAGTATCAAAATATGTTATTTCTATCATGCCTTCTTACTGAGAGGGCAAAGAAACAATCCAAAGGTAATCCTGACAGCAAAGGATGAAAATTTGCAACCTATAAACACCTTCCAAGGAGAATGGTCTATACTGGCAACTAACGTCTCGCGGGCAAGAAGTCACATCCCTGCATCTGCTGTGCAACAAATATGTACCAGTCACCTTCTGTGCTTCGCAGGGAAGCAGAGCATATAGACAATACAGACATTTAATGTGTATTTATAATAGAATTATCTCTCTCTGCAGGCTTTTCCTTGCTTCTCGTTTCTCCTTGGCACTTAACTACCTTGACATACTCACTACTCTATTTTTTCTCTCTCCCCCACTAGAATATATGCCCCACAATGACTGCAACTGTCTATTATGTTCATTCCTGTATTCTCAGTGTTTAAAACAATTGCTGGAGCTTATTAGCAAGAATGTCATACCCGCAGAATGAATAAATGCACTAAAACTCAGATCTTATAGTCAACATTATTATCTAATGAGAAAAAAAAAACCCATGTAGACAATCAACTATAATATAAAACAAGATAGGAAAAAATTACTATAAAGGGACTAGAAACTAGGATCAAACTGCTATTTAGAAATTGACACAGGCAGAATAAGTGTCTCCAAGTGAGCAATGGAGATAACTTCCTTAGCAATTTAGAAGCTAGAGGGCTGGTGGGAAAGCTTGCTGGACAAGTTGGAAAGTAGGCTAGCCCTCAAAGAAAATAGAAGAAACAACGAAATTTCAAGGAGAAATTTCACAGATACAACTCACCAAATGGTTCTCACAGGTGAGTTGTGAGAGATAACACAAACAAGCGAAGGAGTCTTTCTGGCAGGGGAAGGAGAGTAGTGGAAAGGGGAGGTTTATCTTATCTGCAATGTTTGTATATTTATTTATTTAAGAGAATCAAAGTAAATATAGGGAAATGCTAGTATTTGTTTAATCTCAGTGGTAGGTAAATGAGTATCTGTTATATTTTCCAATGTGTTTAGAATATTTACAATTAAAGTAATTTCTAAAGAAATATCAAGGCAAGTTGCAGTCAGCATTGAATACCAGGCTAAGAAATTCTCAACTCTGCCCCACAGGCAAGGGAAATCATTTCATTTTTGAGCAGGAAAGCAAGCTGAGAGAAACGAGGTTTTTGTCTTCTGGAAAGTTAGTTGTACAGCTTCTAAAAGATGATTTAGAGGAAGAAACACTGAATGTGACAAACCAGAGAGAAACTTTAGGCAAAACCCAGTCGTGTGGTTCATACAAAGATGGAAGTTAGAAAGGAGAGGAAGTAGTGGATCATTTGATTATTTTGATTGCTGAAAAGCAGTGAGAATATTTGATGGACTCATTCATTCAATCATTCACAAACTCATTAATCCTTTAATATCTATGGAGCACTTAATAAATTAGGAACTGGGGGTAAAAGACATGCTTCTTGCCCTCAACAGCCCAATGCTATTAGATAAGAGCCCAAACATGCCCCCCCAAAAAAATTGTTATAGGCACCAAAAGAGAAGCGGTCACTTGGTAAAGATGAGGTACAAAAGGGAAGGTCAGATCTTCTGGGTTATGCGTGTAGATGGGGGGGGGGCAAGAAAATTTCTGCAGCAAGTGTTGCCAAGTAGTAGAGCTGAACAGCGCGTTGCTGGTCACTGTCCTTTAACTATAAGAACTGGTTTACAATGTTAACACTTCTACCAGAGTGTGAAGTACAACTAGTAATAACTAATAGTAATAGTAACTAGTTACTACTAGTTTATAATATTATCACCTCCACTGGACTGTGATTTTGGAATACAAGAAAACTCATCTCAACTGCTAATAGCCCAAAACTGGGGCCGGTACAATTTCACCAGTGTCCTCCCCACGTTAGCACAGCGTTCTACAGAAAAATGTGCGCTTGTAGAGCTGAGGTTAACCCAGGAGGGAGAGATGAGAGCCGACGAACAGCAGGATATCTAGCAGCAGATTTTTCTGAATTCATAAGTCACACTGTGACAAAAAATCAGTGTGCACAATAAAAACCAGGGGACACAGCATGTGCATCCCGCCTGGAAAATTCTACACACCAGCTCAATGGAGGTTGGACCGCTTGAAGGCAGGGAAGATTGAGAGAACAGAGGGAAGAGGGACAAGCAGAAACAGACCAACCCACTGGTAGAGGCTGGGCGGGGGGGAGCAGAGTGTGTCCAGGGCGGCCGTGGTGATTCTGATTCCAGCAGTTGCATCGACAAAGCACTTCTCTGCAGAACTAGAAATCTCCATGGGCAGAAACGTACTTTCCCAGGTCAAGTTCCTAGAAATCTGATCAACTAAAACTTTTCACATAATAGGTCCTGTCTGAGCACAGTATCTTCCAAATAGGTGTTCCCAGCAACGCACAAGACTACTTCAGGTTTGAACAATTAAGATAGATAGACAGCAGGGCCCTCCCTAGTGGTGCAGTGGGTTAAAACACTGTACTAAGAATCAAAAGCTACTTCCGCATGAGTTCGACCCCCGCCTGCCCCGGAGGAGATCCACATGGCGCGGCAGACCTCTCCTGACCTGCCTGCTGCTCCCCTCAGCAGTGTACTTTGTCGATCTGCCTGTTCTGATCTCCACTCTGTCTCTGGTGAAGCCTCTCACCCTCCGTATCTCTGGCCTGTACCCCAGTTCTGTATGAATAAATAAATAAATCTTTAAAAAAAAAAAAAAAGATAGATAGGCAGTAGGTTGCCTTATTAACACTGGAACCTGAGCTGAGCAAAATGGCAGTGACTTTAGCTAATGCCCAATAGGTCAAGCAGGAGCTTTCTAGGAGCTCTTTGCTCCTGGTTCAGCTCTGGCCCTATCCCAGAAAGAAAATTAGTCTCTTTCAAATATCCATGTTAGAGCAGGGGGCAGTGATGCAGATAATTGAATACGTTGTTTTATATTTGATTTGATCTATATTTAATTTATTTAATTTATGTGATATTACTTTTTGCAGTAGATTTACCTTCCTAATTATGTTTTGCTCAGGCTAATATTAACATTAGTTGCATCCCTGGGGTATACACTGAAGGAAAGCAGTGGGGGGGGGCAGAAGAAGATGAATAATCTATATGCTGAGCAAGTGATTTTCAAGTTATTTTTAGCAATAGAACTCTTCCAAACAAGATTTTACACAGAAGTGGAATATATCAAATAGATAGCAGAGAATCTGTTTTAATAGAGGTGATGTCTTCCGCCTGGGATATAAATCATGTCATTTGACCCTAAATTGGTTCCATGGTCCAATGGTACAACTGGTCCCAGGAACAGGGATACAAACTTGAAAACCACAAGTCGAAAAACAAGAGCTCTAAGTACTTCAATGCTTCACACTGATCCCCATGTTTCTTTTAAGCTTGTGTACTGCCAACAACAAATAAGAATTGTCCTCTCAGGTCAAACTGTACTGAACCCAGGAAACACAAAAGCTATCCCCACAAATTAGTAATAATGTTTTAACAAACATACCAGAGGAGTATTTGCCAAAGCAGAATCTCCTCCCAAAGTAGCCATTGTAGAAGTAATAGTGTCATTTATGGAGCACTTACTGTATACCAAGTAGCACATAGATTAGCATTTTAAATTCTTGTAACTCTATGAAGGATTATAACAACCACATTTTCTAGTAAGTGAAATCATCCAAAGAGATTTATGCACCTTCCTCAGGTAAATGGGCAGATGAGAACACAGCCAGTTTAGCTGGCTTTCCTCTCCCTCTTCACCCCAGTTACACTGCCTCTCTTAGACGCTGTGCAGTTATTCCGAAACTGCTGTCATGGTTCAGGTTGGCTTTTAGAATTTTGTTTTAGAACTATGCTAAATTTACAATGCAATCAGTATCATCACTTGTAAATGAACGTTAATCTCAAACTGACCAACATTTACAGTGAGTTGGGACTGGGCCCTTTTTGGTGCTGCAGTGGGTTAAGGCGCAGCACTATGAACCTATCTGCAGCCACTGCTGCACAAGTTCAATCCCCAGCTAGGGAGGTGACCCACATGGTGCAGCAGCCCTCTCCTGCCTCACCCACTGCTCCCCTCAGCAGTGTACTTTGTCAGTCTGCCTGTTCTGCTCCCCACTTTGTCTCTGGTGAAGCCTCTCACCCCCTGCGCCTCTAGCCTATGCCTAAGTTCTGTATGCATAAAAGAAAAGGAAAAATTGAGACTGGAGCCAACAATGTGGGGCAGAGAGAGCACAGCCTGGGGGCCTGGGGCTGGCAGTGGTGAAAGGAAATTGAGGCAAAGCACCTATTAAGGTTAATAGTGTCTTCCTCCACCCCAGCTCCTTTGTGGGTATCCTTTGAGTGGGATCTTATATGAGTGTCTTTACAGACACAATGCAATTCAATAAGGACACCAGGATGGGTCCTGACTCAGCAGAACTGGTGTCCTTGTGAAAGGGGGAGATTTGGACCAGACACACACGCAGGGAAGGGTAATCCTGTGCTTATCCAGACAAGACAGCCATCTGCGGGCTGCGGAGTGGGACTTCGGAAGAACACAACCTCACGACACCTTGATCTTGGAGCTCCAGCTTCCAGAGCTGTGAGAAAACATATTTCTGTTGTTGAAGTCACCCAGTCTGTGGTGCTTTGTTATGGCAGCCCCAGCAGATGAATACATGTGGGAGTTTCAGTTTTTAATAGTACGATTAATTATATGTGTTAAGCTCCTACATGCTGATGCTCCAGGGCCCAGGAAAAAAGGCACAGCAGACATGATGGCTCTTTTA